GGTGCCGCCCTGAGGAGGCGGGTCCGCCTCGCTTCGGCAGCTGCGCAGCGACTGCGCGGCCGGGGCCGCGTAAGTCAGTGAAATGCCCGCCATTTTCTGCCCCAGAAGCAACACATGGTGCTGTTAAAAATAGTGAAATTAATAAATCCTCCTTAGGCTCAAGCATGAGCAGTTTAGGCGATGGAGAGCGCTTCCGGGCTCTGCTCTTGCGTTATCTGCCTCTGTATCTCGCAGGAGAGCGCCAGCCGGATGTCAGTCACCTAGCTGCCAACAGAACTTCATTCAAAGGGTCTAGGGAGCCAACCGCGAAATACTAGATAGTAGCCAAGGCCGTAGAGATTTGGCAGAGAGTTATCAAAACCGAAGTCCAGCCCATGCCGGGATGGTATATAGGCTTGTGGAAACCTTTTCTCTTGTTTTGGTGGTGATAAAGCAGGACAGGCCGAGCCACGGCAGACACTGTGCTGTCTCCACCACCAGCTCCACACCACCAATTATCTCCTCCTGTCAATATTTTCTCACCCATTTCCCAAACTCTCGATTATGATCCCAGCACAGCCCACCTTCCCATCATACCCAGTTTAATCTCCCTTCACGCTGATCCCTGCCTTCTGTTACCCCGATCACTTGAGTAGGTGAGACAAATTTAAATCATTCTTCATGCCATTAGCACAACTTTTGTGGAATGGGAGGGATTCAAGCACTCAAAAGTGTCCTTGCATACAGTGAATATAGAATAGTCACCTTGTATTTTAAAATATTTATAACTTAAACCCAAACAGACCAACCAGCTACCTGCATCCTACACTACACAAGGGAAAAAAAAAAGAAAGAAAAAAAAAAAAGGCAAGCATTTTGTTTGTCTTGATTGGGGTTTGGAGAACTTGTAAGGGCAATAATACCCAGGTTTTGTGCTTTTTGTGAGCATCCAGCACAAATGGCAAAAATTATTTTGCCATTTCTTTTAACAGAGTTCTAGCAACCCTCAAGATTTACACCTCTGTCCAACAGCGCACACAGCCTTTGTACTTAATTAGTGACACAAATTCAAAGCAGCTGGACAACCCTGTGCTCGTTCAAACTTGGGCTGTGCCCTGGCAGGATCAGGGTGAAGGCTCTTGACTGCTGCACTGCTGTTTACACAGGCAGAGAGAATTGGAGAAGATGTGGGCAAATTTCGGAGAACCGCTAGAGGCCAGTAGAAGCCTGGAATGCCGAACCCAGGGACGGTGTAATCGGAGAGAGCCGTTCGGGATGTCGACTGCAACCCTTACCAGAATTGGGATTTATGCTAAGGCTGGTATTTGCTTTGTAGCTTTTTCACATAATACATAAAAATCAGAACATGGAAGAATTACTTTAATTATTTTAACACAGCAATTTCAAAGTGTAGTGCATGTATCTAGTGAACGTAATTAACAGGACTCCCAGTGGGGGGGGGGAGGAGGGGGAGATATAAATGAATAAGAGTTTAAAGACACCAAAAAAAGTCAGCTTCAGTTTTTTCACTTGCATTATTTTTAGTCTTGCTGGTGATTTTTATCTTTATATTTGTGGTTTCTTTCCTTAAAAATTAGCCTTTTTTTTTCAAGGTTAACCTAACTAACTATTCTTATTTTCAAGCACTTACCCATTAAATGGGGTATAGAAAATAATAATAATTTAAAAAATCTTCTACCTACCATCTTTCTGTCCAGGTCATTACACTTTTCAAGACCCATCCATACAGTCATCTCACATGAAACAAATTTTGCTTAGTCACAGCAAATACTGACAAGCCTTTTGCCTAAGTGGAGAAACAGCAACATCCAGTTAATTCTCACATAATCCTTTAGCAGTAACCAGGCAAACACTAACCATCAGTGAAACCATGAATATGGGCCTTCTAAGATAAAATGCCACAAAGAAATGGGCAGATTCTGTTTACCCCAGAAGCCAAAGAAACAAGTTACCAAATGCATCAATTAGCAGGTGTACTCAGGAACTCTCTAGGCTGATGGTACCAAGTCAAAAAACATACAGGTTTTCCCCTACCTTTCTAAGACTGCAAAATTTGAAACATCTGGAATCATTTTACTTTCCTTTTTCCCCATAGCCGCCTTCTTAAAAACTACATGTGACATTAAAATCTTGGTAAATTTGGTTAAATAAATTAATTTTAAAGGAAACCTCAGCTCCATATTTGCATCATGTTAAAGTCAGTTATAGCTTTTGAGGCAGGAAGCAGAGCTGTCAGTTTTCAGACTCGCTGAAGCAATGAGTGGGATGAGGCTGTGGCCAGGAGAACATCACCACCTCCAGAGTTGAGCCTATTCATGTCCCAAATATCTGCAACTTCAGTGTATGTGCGCCACTGTAGATTCATTCTGCATCCAGGTATTGAATACATCTTTAAAGCCAGTATTTTCAAAAGGAGCTGAAGCTGTAATAGCTGTAAATCTCTTTTCCATCTGCTGGGGAAATCCAAGCCACTTGGGTACTTTTAGTCTTTAATTTCTTGGTTTACAGGTGCAATTTCACATTCTTAGTGGGGACTTCATAGTGGAGATATGGAGATAAACATTTGTTTCCCTGATTGATTTAGTTAATAAGCAAATTAACAGACAGAACTCTTGTAGCTTTTTCCCTAAAAATGTGTTATTTGAAAATACTAATGCAAACACAGTCAAGTTTAGCACACAGGCCAGTCCAGAAGTTACCATAAAACTACATCAACATCTTTCAGTGGGTTTCCAAACATCCTGCCATAGGCTATGGCTTGCCCTCAGCTCTTGCAGGAGCAAGGTGCTGACTTGCAAGGCTTTGTCTCCTCTTTTTGGCAACCCATGCAGAGTAGGAGTACTTTGATGGCATATTTAAAATACTGCAGCTTCCAGCAGGGTGGGCCAAAGGATCTTGCCACTTAAAGCTGCTCTAGCAAGCGAAACCTTCCTAGAAACCATGTTAATAATGTTGATAAATCCAGATAAACAGCGGCACCAATTACCTAAGCTGATTTCACACTGAGATGTGTACGACTACATTTCCAAAAGCAAAAGCCAGATTTTCCATCCCTGTGAATCTGCAGCACAGGCTACAAGTTGCCAGATAAACATTCACTGGGTTTAGTAATGACTTTTGTCTCTCAACTCATCTAATTTGTTAACAGGAATAGCAGATACAAAATGGGATTTTCTACAAGCTTTACGTACATAAGGAATCCTGATGACAGATTAATGTCATTCAACCAGACCTCCTCACATGATTAGGCCTTGTGCAATCAGCCACTTCTTTCTTTCCTACTGCTCCAAGCTGAAAATTAGCATTGGGAAAGCCCCAGACAACTCAATTTGAATAAAGAGAGGTTTGGAACACATTTCTCGATGCTTTAAATCTACCTGGGAAATTTCAGGAGAATTGTCACAGCACAGAGCTCCCCATAGCCAGTTTGCAGAGATGCAACATCACACACAGGTTTTTTTCCTAAGGGCAAGGTGTTGAATTCTTGAGAGAAGTTTCGTTCTCAAATCAAAGATCCATTCTCAAATTTGCATAGCACTATCTCAACTGAAATTCACCTCTGAGTATTTTAGAAAAGCAAATGTCTTACCTTCTCTTCACTGAAACCACTGTTAATAACAAAACAATTCCTAGGATAGGAAATGGACAGAATGCTGTTGTTTTAGAATTATTTTATATAAAACAAGGAAGATTAGTATTTTATATCATATTCAAATTTTAGCTTGATCATTCTTATTATGCAAAGAAAAAGGTCAGAAAAAGATCACTTGTTTTTAAATACATTTAATGTTATGAAACATATTGCCTTTATTTTGTTTAAATCCTTGCTAAATCTTAACATCAACAATAATAAAAGGCTTTTAAAAACCTTTTCTTTAATCACACAGTGGCCTCATTGTTTTACTCTAAGGCAGAAAACAGAGTCATCATAAATAAAACACTGACATGGAATATAAGACAAACCCAGGCCAGACAGTTTGCTAAAAAGTTTATGAAAAGTGCATCTGGCTGGCTCAGGACTCCCTGAGTAAGGTAGACATTCTCCCACACACCTCTTGGCTATTTAGCCACTCAACAAGAAAATCTGAAATAAAGGCTGCCTTTCTCATTTTAAGGGTATTGCATTTACATGCCACTTACTGTGTGAGGTAGGAACCAGTTTCTAGGGGCTGTATCTGGGCCTCACCTCCTTATTGTTGCCCCTTCATTTGCTATGCAAAAAGAGATTTAAGTGCAAATCAAAACTGTAGCTATGAAAGTGAACTACTGTTTATTTTCAATCACAATTCATTAGCTGATTGTAAAGGACACTTTTCATGATTTTCACCTTAAAGGACACTTTTCATGATTTTCACCTTCAAAGCAATAAGAGGCACAAAAAGCTAGATGTAACTTTTTTTTCTTTTTTTTTCCCAAAGGATGCCTCTGAAAAATGGGGACTTGAGCACTAGAAGAAAACAGTGTGTTCAGGTTATCGAATTCAAAGCTCAATGAAGTTTCTGTTTTGTAAATGCACCCGGCCTGGAGTAAATTCTTAACTGAAAAATAGCAGCAACTCAAAAGTGCATAAATTACAAACTTCATGAATAAATTAAGGAAATGGATTTGCTTCATCTAACTATCCTAACTGCCCCAAGATCCTTTTCTTTTTACAATGACATGGAAAATCTGAATAAAGGTACTACTAATTTGAAACTAAAACTACTCTAAAATCTTCAGTAGATTTCTTTCTGAGATAAGGCAACTTGTCTTTTACCAAAATTCAAAATGTACACAGAATGACTGGAAGTAGCCCAGTAACAGACAACCCCTCCTACACCACCAAGCCTTAAACATAGGTTTTTCCATTCATATGTACACTTGTAATTCAGGGTGTGAGTTTTCTAGAAATGCCAAACATCTCATTCCCAGGGATTCTGATTATTGGAGAGCTTGTACAGTAGGAAGGCTGAGGAGAGGTCCAGTCCTGAGCAGTGGGGGAAGCAGGACGCTTGAGCAGAATTTTCAGCTGTAGTGGGTGCAGCTGTGGGACTTGCAATTACAAAGCTGTAAGTCCTGCATTCAGAGCCTAGGCAGTCCAGTGGCCATTTGAAGACTACAGACGACAGTACTAGAGTGACATTTTGGATCCCCATATTGAAGACCTTGGCTCTAGAGGACCCCCTTCCACCAGTTGTCCATGAGAGGTTGTGCATAGAGGTAGGAAAAGTGCTTAATCAATGTGTAAGGAATGCATTTACTCTGAAGTTCTTTAATACGAAATTACTCTTCATCCTCATAAGACATATTCATATTCAGGATCATATTCATCCATGGCAGAGATGAATCCATCAATGCAGTATCAGTAATCCCTTTCTTTGCAGTGAGACGGTTTCCGCTTGCTGGCATGCTCTTGGAAAAGTGTGCTGTTTCTTGACCAAAATAGATAGTTCCCAGTTCATCTGTGGTGAATATTTATTCTTCCTTTAGAACAAATTTAAATGCCATATTTCTTTCTACGGATTTTGTTCATGGGGGCACACTTTTTTTTTAAAAAACAGTTTGGGTAGATCTTGTGTTTCTTCATCTTAAGCACACTGTGTGTTGAACAGAGTAGAACTAGAAGACAACAGGTACAGAAGCAGCAGCACAATGTTTTGATGAAACACTTCCACAATAGCAACTTCAAGCATCTTGAACTTCACAGAATCCACAAAAGCATTCTTGTTTAAAATGTGCTTTGCAATAAGAACATCAAGCTTTTCTCTTTTCCTTTCCAACCTACTGCAAGGACAGAAATCCTGCTTTTCCTTAGCTAGAACCTAACCTCATTCCTGCCAATCCACTTTTAGTTACCAAGGCCTCAGAGCAAGGTGAGCATCCAGGTTCTCAGCTGGAGTCAGTGCAGATGATAGTCTCTTAACAAGAATAATCATCAAGGGTCCACTTTGCTAGAAACACAGCTGTGACAGCATTTGCTTCACTGGAGGAGGAAGATTCAGCTGCAGATGTTGACCACGGCTGAAGAAAAATTTCTTCTTTTTTTTTTTTTTTTTTCTTTTCCCCTGGAAAATGTTTGCTTTTGTAAAGCAGGTAAATGGGTAGCTTTCAAATGTAATTTTAATAATGTCAGTTCATAATTTCTGGTAAGGGAGAAAGTTTCACAGCTCAAAGATGAGGCAGACAATTTCATACATTTAGCATGAATTCAGAAGGGGTTAGGATCTCTGACAGCAAAGACAGCGCTTGCTGTGAACTAAGGTTGCTTCAACCAAAATTACATAGGAATATATATACTAAAAAAATAACTTCAGAATTACAGACAAATATGAGTTACATGTAGTCTATGTAGCTAAATCCATTTTTTACTTTGGAATTAGATGCCTGTTTTTGTGGTAATCCAGTCACGGAAATAAGTCACTCGTGTATAAACTCCAGGTTTATTTGGCTTGGCACATTCATCTCCCCAGCTCACTATTCCCACGAGGTACCACATCAGTCTAGAGTCTGGAGTAACCAGTGGTCCCCCAGAGTCCCCCTAGAAAAAGAGGAGGGGAAAAAAATATTTAATTGATCAGAAGAGAAAATACAATTCTCTCCATAGATGGGAGGGTCTATGCTAAAAGAAAAGTTAACAAGCAGTATTTCAAGAGCAGCCATTTGTGCAGAATTCAGGCTGTTTCTGAAACTTGAGTCAGAAGTCTGTGGCATTTTCCTGTTTTCCAGGGGACCTCCAACCTCTGTCTCAGTAAAAAACCTAATAAAAAGCTTCTGTTCTGTTTTGAGATATACTGCTTCCTACCTGCCTTGCAATGTTTCAAAAAGGAGCTTAGAGCTCCTTTTGCTTGGAGCTTTCATCAAGAACTTGGTCTTCTAGTTAGATGATATCTCCTTAAGGTATTATCCATTTTTCAAGGATCAATTCTGATACTGTTAATAGCATGACATGGTAATAACAGTTAAACTGGAAACCTTGCAGACTGAGAGGCAATCCTTATGCAAAAGACCAATTTCCACAGCTTTCACCAAAATCATTTACTGAACTAAACAGCAGTTGCACCCTTCTGCTTATGTCTTTTCAGTGCTGAGCCAGGAACAGAGGAATGAGCTTCCCAGGCTTATCTGCAGGGATTTTCTTTGGGCAAAAAATCTGTAGGACTCAGATTAAGAGTCTGTATTGAACCAGCACTTTAAGAGTACAATCTTTAAAAATAACATAAATACAGATTATGTTTTTAAAAGTTATCACTATGGAAATATTTTTCTTTGAACATAAGCATTTCCTTGCAGCATTTGCAAACCTGCAGCATGCATGTTTCCTTCCCATTCTTTTACACCTACCTTCCTAATAGTTTTCTTTGTTTCAGACTGTTTCCCTTTCACTGAGCCAAGTCTGTTACCAAAGATCACATTGTAACAGATATGTTATGATATGATCCAGCTCAGAATTTAATTTCAGTGACTGGCAGTGCATTTTTTCTGGTAATTTAACATTCTTAACCTTTTTCCTTCTCATCTCTAGAGATATCTGGTATTAGCTACTTGAGACATTTAAATTTCAGGTCATGATTAGTATAACAGCATTTAGTGCTAAATGGTGGGTACCAAATGCTATTTCACTTTATAACTAAATTCCTGTCTGAATGGAGCCTATTTAAAGGACTAATACACTGTCCATTAAGATTTGATCAACCAGGTACTGCAGTCACCATTAAAATAATTTTTCTTTCTAATTTTCAGCAACAATTACCTGACAAGCATCTACTCCTCCTTCCAAGTATCCTGCACACAACATCCTGGGTGTTATGTCTCCATCATACACTTCTTCTCTGTTGCAAGTGTCTGAGTCAATAAGTTTCACTGTTGCCTCCTGAAGAGCATTTGGGGCTGGACCTGAGAGAAAATACAATTTGGGTATTTATCAGCATAATTACTTTGCAGTAGTTAATATACAGGAAGAGTGTTTCATGTCCTCTTATGGAAGACCAACTTGACTTGGTTTAATGTGGAGGTCTTGCTTGTTGATCTGCCTAGGTCAGGCCATTAAGGAGAATGTACATAGAATCATAGACTCACTTAGGAGCTGTACCATTAAGACTGAAGTCAAGATCACATGGTACATAGTGCCTTAAGTGTAAATCCATATATTTTACACACGTTCCACATAACACAAATGTTCCATGGAACACAAATTACCTAGCACCTTGAGCAGATGATACAAAATTAAGATATCTTTATTCCATTGCTAAATCTACTCTTTGTGTGGTAAATGGAAAGGCTGGGGAAACAAGAGTCTCTTTTTTTTTTTTTTTGCTCCAGTGGACTGTAGTCCTGTCTTTATCCACTCTACTTTTAGAACAAGAAACTGATGCCTACAACTAGTCAAACCTATTGCAAATATTAGCTTGCTGTCATATCACATGTGGCTACAGAAGTGATATCAGTTCACTCAGAGTCTCTGTTTATGGACTATACAGGTTACCAGGCAGACTCAGGACTCACCATCATTGGTGAGAGCTCCCCAGCCTGTGATGACAGCGTAAGTATTGTAGGGAAAAGTCTGAGATGGCTCTGGCAGACAAACACGGTGTATGCTGCTCGTGAACTCTACTCGTTTGGAGAGCTGCACAAGAGCAATGTCATAGTCATGTTCTGGGTAGAGGTACTTCTCATGGATAATAATTGTCTTGACTGATCGCTTCAAGCTTGGTGGCTTCAAAAGAGCTCCAAAAGTAGCAGTCCACTTCTGAGGGTGAGTCATGCTGAAAAAGGTACGAGTGCTGTAAGTATTTTGCTGTAAATATGTGTTTAGGACTTTAAATTTGCAGAGTACCTTTACTGTAAAACTCCTTCAAGCCAGCTCCCTACTAGACAGCTGTGGCATCCATCCCTTTCCGTAACAGAATTGTGGGCTGCTGCTAGGAGAGGGCATTCCTGCATTCCCTCCTCAGCCACGGTCTTGTACTCCTCCCCTGCCCCTTGTCCCTGATCTAACCATTGTGTGGCCATAGGGTGTTATCAAATCCAAAGCTCTTCTTCTGTAAATTCTGCATTTCCCTTACTCTTTTCGCACACTGATAATCTGTTCAGTCAACTGATCCATCTTAAAATACCCTACAGCTTCACAATTGCCATGCTTTAAACAAAAAATGCTGGGAGTGCATGGCTGAACAGAGGGGCAGGAACATGGGATGGTAACTGCTGGTAGCAGTCTGCAGTGGCAGCAGCCCCATTGTAACATGAAGGCATACGTTTAAGAAATGTAAAGTGTAACAGGAAACAAATACTCCACCATTTCACTCACCTTACCTTTTCTGCACTTCTTTGGTCAGTACGCCAAGTGACTATAGATTTTCACTCATAAAATTGCCAGTTCTGCTCCCGAGGGCCAGTCTTTAATTTCTCATTGAAACATCCAGCTGATGGGCCTACTTAACCCTGACTTTTCTCTTCCAAAATGGTTTCTCTGGGAAAGAGTCAGGGGTGTGGTGCAAATCTGGAGAGCCACACAGCTTGATACAGAAGGGGCACATTCTGCAGCAGATTCTAAGATGGGAACTTACTCTCTGAAGCAGTGAGCTGCAGATACCAGCCATGTGTTGCTGATGAGTGTTGCGCCACAACGGTGGATGTTATTGTACTGCAAACTGGCCTGCCATGGCCAATCCCCGGTCTCTGCAGAAGACAATCCGCCAACAATTCGCAGCGATGAGGATTTTGCCATCGACTTGACTGATCTATTCTGCCGTAACCCACAGACTGTCAGAAAGGACAAAGAGAGTATTAGCTACTCTTCTGTTTAGTAAATCCTGTGAATGGCTGTGGGAAACATATGTAAAATTACCACTTACGTTCTGTGAAAATGTATTGACATTGACAAGAAAACATACATTCCACCAGTCCCCCCAAATCAGAGCTCCTCATGCACAACCCATGTGTTAGAAGCTTGAATGACTGAACTGACTATCATGGAAAGCCATGATGGTCAAACATTCAGGCTTAGCTGTGTGAGCAGCCCGACTCAGGAATCAAAACCTTCACCACACACCCAAGACAATTCCCAAATAGAGGCATTGCTTACTTTAATGTCCCAGGTAATTTCTCATTAGATAAAATATGAAAAAGGCAAAACCTAAAATGGGAATGATCCAAGTTGTGGGTTTTTACCATGCATGCACGCAGATTACATCAGCAAGATGTCACCTAGAGACAAGCAATTGATCACTGCAGTCTGCAAGTGGACCTAGAGAGGCACTTCAAGCAAAGAGCATCACACTACTCCAACCAGAGATGAGAAAAGGCATGGATACCTCCAGCATGGTATGCATCCATGACACAAAATAAGCATTTTTGTCCAAACCCAGAGAGAAATTGTAATATACATAGTTTCAACTGTTAAACTCAGGATATTCAGGAGCATCTGAGCTTTAGAAATTTCTTCAATGAAAAGACCTACTTCAGCCGCTTTCTCCCATCCAAACAGCATCAAATCCATCCTACCTGGACCAAGACCCACTAGTTTTCATCCAGGTCCCAATTTCAGCTAGACATTAGGAAAGTTGACACACAGGACTATCCCAATTCATTGAAAAAGAGACAAAGATGAGAATTATTTGTGTAGTGACCGCACAATCCAAACCATTGCTGCACGGCTCATCTCCCAGAAGGTGACCCAGAAGGGGCCAAAGCAGAACTCGGTAATTCATCACTGAGGAGCTTCCAGCTCCAGGGCCCTTGAAGTCCTCAGAAGTGAAAACTGGAGCCACAGAGAGTGTTATCTCATCCCTTTCCTGCTAGGATCTGCACAATATTATGTTAATGCTCATGGTCAAAAGTGGCAGGAGTACCACAGCAGACTAAAAGCTGTTCATAAATTTAGAAGAAAGAAAAGTTAAACCACATTTAGAAGTTCATAGGCTCAGTGCAGAGTCTGCCCTCTTCTGAGATTTAAAACCACAATGAAGGAAGTCAGTGAAATCTAAATCTACCTGTCCAAAACTTTTGTGCAAAAGACAAACTTCAGAATATACCATAGTTCAAAAGACTGTCTGAACTAACATTTTTCCCTCCTGGAAGCTCTATGTAATCCTCAGTAACTGGTCCTAAAACTGCACAATCCTATCAACCACCTGAGCAGGCAATGTTCAAAACACAGGGAAAAAACTCAACTCCATTAGTGCCCCAGAACACCAGCACCTACATCAGACCCAAAAAGTGATGTAATTTAAT